AAATTACTTGTTTTTTCAAAGATAGAAGATGTTGTTGCTTTTCAGGTCAGTCGGTGCAGTTATATGTGTAAAATTGTGTTTCTGTAATCGAACGTACTTCTCGCTAATCAAATAACATAATACTGGTTTTTTTTAGCTTCATCTGGACCAGATATTTGGATTATTTTTCGGAGTACTCTCAATAAGATTTTATCGTCATCAATTCCAAGTTGAAGAAGTCCAAGTTGAAGATGGGAGGCTGGAGGTTGTTTTCAAGTTTAAATACAATTTCAGATCTGTTAATCAAGACACGTACAAGTCTTGGGCTTAGCGCAGTTCTTGTTGAAACGTTTTCAAAAATTACACGAGGTTTTCTATTAGGGGTATGGCACAAAAAAGGCCTTATCTGCTACTTTTAAGAGTTTTGTATCTCTAGATCATTCAAGTAAACGAGATTTCATGCCCTTGCATCTAATCAAGATCTTCGACGCAAATTCATTTTGATATTCTTCTGTGTGGACTACAAATGAATAAATCGTTTGTACGCAAACCACGCAAAAATAGTTATTTTTTGAAGATGATCCAAGGTGGTCTCTCGGTGTTTTGAAATTAATCTTGTTTTCCTTTACAGACCAAAAAAAACGTCAAGCTCGAGCTCTGTTTAGCGCGTAGGGGAGAGGAACAATTTACGGAAAGCTTGTAAACAGCAAAAATGTGCAAACATCTGGCTCTTTGTGAAGGGTCACAGCAGAACGTCAATATCATCAACCATGTATTTAAGTGACTGCTTTGATAATTTAAACACATTCGGTATCAGAAGTTGTTGCTATGGGTAACTGCATGTACATTGGCTCTCGAAGTGCAAATCATGTCGTACCTTCTGTGATTCTTAGTTAAATAAAAGAAAAGTCTTTGAAGGTAAAATAAACATCTTCTACTGCAAATTAAGTCAAGGAAAAGGGGAAAGATTGGTTTTAAGTAAATCGTCTCCGAGAGATGAATGCATCAATATGACCAGTGATGTATAATTTCATGACCTTCTAGTTTAAAAAAGTGTTGGAGAAATAACCCATTGTTTTATGTCCTCCACCCAGTTCAACTTGGCACTGTTGATTGAAAATGAAAGCAATTGATGGATGTCTCCCGTGGCTGCTTCTTCTCATCTGGAACAAAGGTACAATTCTTGTTATGTTTTTCAAATCATGAATAGTCTAACGCGAAATATTTTTTAAGCACACCCTTTCT